CCGATTTGTTCTCCCGGGAAACCACACCCCCTATTTCCAAAATCTCAATTCCATACAAAAGCATGCAACCTAGATTTCATCATACATAGTTCATACACAATGGATATAAAAAAGAACACCAAACTAAATAAGAAAAGAAAATTACAATTGAACAACTATAAACTACCCAACTCGTCGGAGCAGGGCTCGATGACCCCCTTGCTGAAGCCGTTGGCCTCGTGGTCGTTGCCGCCGGGGCGAATCGAGGGCTTATCCTCGTAGTCGAGGTCCTCCATGAAGAGTTGCTCCCGCTTGACATCACGGAGGCGTCTCATGCGGCAGTTTCCCGCCACCAACCTCTCATCCTGAAGGGACGCGAGGATGGCGTGGTTCTCAACGACGAGGTTAATTAGGGTCGGACGCGAGGGAGGTTGCGTCCATGCACTCGGCCTCGAGTGGTGCCTCCGCATGAGGTGCTCTGCCTCCTCGGCTTGAGTGACACGGAATTGCTCATGCGCTTCCTCCATCGAGAGGAGGCAGATGTCGTCGCCCCCGGCCGTGGTGGTGGGGTCAACCTCCATGCCCTCCTCCGAGCTCCGCTTCGGAGACCTCGGTGGTTGTCCGGCCGCAATGCGGTCTGTGCGTCGCACATGGTAGTTGCCTCCTCAGCAGTGAGCTCTGTGCAGCGCTCCAAAGTGGGCGTCTTGTAGTGGGTGACCTTGCAGACCATGGCAGACAGTCAGCTCGGACGCGGACGGGGACGCAGTGGCGACGCTGATGTGAGGGGAAATGGAGAGGAATGTGGGCGGCTAGGGTTTGGCCCTCGGCGTATGGATTTAATAGCCGGGGCTAGGCTCCTTGGGCGGCATGGTTGGGCCATGAATGTGGGCAGGCAAACCGGTGAGCTTCCGGGCAGATTGATGGATTTTACGTGGGTCCAGACTGTCAGTCCAACCGTGGCAGATGCGTCGGGGCGGCCCGAAATCCGCCCCACATATGGGATGAGTCTGGGGTTGCTGGA